ACCTGCAGTGCCTTTTATGACATAGCCTTGGAACTTACACATCACGTTGGCCTTATTCAGAGCCAGCCTTGATTGAATTTGGGCAGGAAAGTAATTAAGTGCATGAATGCTAGGAAGTAAGGATTGGTAGAGGCTATCCCAGAGGCTGACTCCCACAGATGAGGGTGATATTTTCAGCTGGAGAATTGTCTATCTTCTTAAAAACATCTAAAGATGGTAGCCCTTAAGTACATCTTTATCATATTGCTCAAGAAGTTGTTTCTTAATTTCAGCCATGATCTCTCCTATTAAGTCTACAAAAGCAGTTCTGTTCATGACTATTGATTTGATACTGCTCTTTACAGCTTCTTGAAACTTTCTCTAGTGACAGTGCCAGTGACCAAACCATTTTAGTGATAACAACCCCTTTTGGGGACAAAAGAACATTAAGAACAGGCAAGGTGATGATTCATTCATTTAGTCAAGCATCCATTTTTGTCATTGATTTGATACAGTGGACTATATTTATGTGTGGCTGATGGACACATAAAGTAATGCATACAGGGTTGCCTGGGTGGCTTAGTCAGTTATGCATCCAAATCTTGATTTCAGCTCAGGTCATGATCTCAGGGTTTGTGAGATCGAGCCCTGAAGCAGGCTCTGCACTAATAGCATGGAGCTTGCTTGGGATTCTCTCTCTCTCTCTATCTCTGCCCCTCCCTCTCTCATGTTCAGGTTCTTTCTTTCAAAATAAATAAACAAACAAGTAAATAAATAAATAAACATACATTAAAAAAATAAAGTAACATATACCAAAAATAATTTTGCAACTTAATGATCATACCAGTTAATTATCACTCAAATTTTATATCATTTGGACTCACTTCACTTTTGCTGTTTTATTTTATTGATATAATATTGGCATAATAATAAAACTCATTGATTTAGCACTTACTGTGTGCCAGATGTTTTACATCTCACTAATATTCCAACAAACCTTCCAAGGTGTAGTTATCACCATTTTATTGTGGAGGAATTAAGTAATGTGTCCCAAGTACACACAGTCAGTAAGTACGTGGCAAGGCTGAAATGCAAACCGAAATCTATGTCTCTTTCTTCTTCAAGCATGGCTGCTGTTAGTGAATTATCGCCATACATATAGGCCTCCCACTTGAGAGGTAACAGACTTCTACATTGTTATTCAGGCATTTTCAGATGGTTTCTGTAGGTGTCTCTCTTACTATATTGACAATATGGTTGAAAGATATGATTGCAGGGGTCCCTGGGTGACTCAATTGGTTAAGCATCTGACTCTTGATTTCCGCTCAGGTATAATCTTGTGATTCATGTGTTCAAGCCCTGCCTCAGGCTCTGTGTTGATGGCATGAGCCTGTTTAGGACTCTCTCTCCCTCTCTCTCTGCCCCTCCCCTGCTCACCCACATGTGTGTGCC